CTTTTTTTTTTTTTTTTTTTTTTTTTTGTCTTTTTGTCTTTTTCCGTGTCCGGCAACGGATCGCAACCCTCGGTGTTGCCCCCGTACCAGACCGGGGACCGGCAACGGGATCACAACCCTCAGTGCTGCGCCCGCACCTCGCTCAGCCAGTGAGTGGGAACCGGTCTGCATGTGGGATCGGAACCCTCGGGCGGGAGCGCCACCGCGCTTCCCAAGCGGCGCACTATCCAGTGTGCCACCGGGCCGGCCCCGATAATGGGAACTTTTTAAACCTCAGGAAGTAGGTAAACAACTGTTACATTTCCCTCTCTCCGGCTAGACCGTAAACTCCAGCAGGGGAGGGACCGAGGGAGTGAAGTAGCATGCGACTGGGCCCCTAACTCTCCCCCACTCCTGGTGGTCCTGAGTCACGGGGCATCAGCGCAGGAAGGGAGCTGAGCCCCTCACCCCAAAGAGCGGTTTCTCCCAGGAAGTTCCCTGCCCAAGCACACAGGCTGAGGGCACTGGGCAGGAGTCGGGCCTCGGATGGCAGGGCAGGGCTCTCTCCTTTAACTGCCCCCGCCTGGCTCTGCAGCTCCAGTTGCTTCTAGTTTATGGGCGGCCAGAGACAGAAAGCAAAACCAATACAGGACCCCCACTCCAGGAAAGTGCTCGGGTGACATAAGGGGCCCAACAGTGGCCTTCTGACCTGCCATCTGTCCTAAGTGAAGAGTGAGCGAGATGGAAATGTCAGCGAGCACATCCTAGACAGGGGTGAGACCGGCCGGGGCACCTCAAGCTGGACAAAAGGCTGGAGAGAGTCACGAGGAACGAGGTGACCAGTGTCCCACCCGAGATCAGATGCTAATGACAGCGGATCTGGGCGGGACCTGGGGGAACTCTCAGCACCATCTTTCAAACTCTTCTGTAAGTGTAAACTACTGTAAAACAAAATGTTTACTTAACTGAAAAGCGAGGGAGCAGGAAGCGAGTGACCCAGAATCCCTGCACCCGCGGAGGGAAGGTGGAGCGCAGCGCACGCATCGGTGTGGTCCCGTACCTTCAAACACCTGGTGACTGTTCCTGAGCAGCGTCTGCAGGCCACCACACTCTCGCTTCAACCTCTGCAGTGTCTCCTTGTCCAGCTCCCTGGCTACCTCTGCCAGGGAAAGGCTCTCTGTTGAAAAACAGGGTTTTCCCCCAAACAACAACAACAAAACATTACCAGCCTGTTAAACGGGCAGAGTCTGGAGTCAATTCCAGCTTTACAAATTCAAATCCCTTATATACTTCAGCAGGAGCGGCCATATTGACTTAATTTAATCTGATTTAATTCACATGCACCTCACAACAACTGGAACCATGAGGGCAGTGGCAGACCCACCCGAGCCTGGCAGGCACAGCTGATGGGCGTGCACAACCACACAATGCCACTGCCCTGCACGGCATCCGAGCAGTAAGTGACACTGCCAGGTCTGGGGTGGTCACCCAGGTCCCTCCTCCCTGGTGACCCATAATAGGGATGGCTGTTTGGAGCCACGGTATCCCAGACTAAGGAAGGAAGGGCAAAACTGGAAGCCCTGGAAGCCCAAGCCATCCAGCAGCTATTCCAACCAATCCAGCCAACCAGATCCCAGGGTCACTGGCTCTAGACAGGCTCGTCAGCGGCGAGCCAGCAGGTTAGGAGTTTGTGATAAAAAACATCACAGACGTCACAGCGATGGTCTTTTCCACTTAGGATTTTTACTTGTAGAGCCTGCATGCATTTCAAAATGCTTTCATCAGAAAACCTGGCAAAAGAGAAGTCAGTTTACTACCAAAACATCAAGTTCAAGGTGAGGTGAAACTGGTTCCCATGTGAACCTGCCACGAGACCCGCCTGCCAGGCTCTGTGCTCCATCCACCTCACTTGCCCCCAACCTGGCCACAGGACAGTCAAAGACACAGAGCAGAGCCGCCATGCTGCCTGGCCCAGAGGCCCCACACAGTCTGCAGCCCTGCGGTTGCTGCTGTCACCCTGTCTGTCAAGGCCCAGCCAACCTTCCAGGTCCACCTCTTGGCTGCGTCGAATCCATTCCGAAAGGAGCTGGGATGTTAAAAGGAAAGTTTAAAGACTGTTGCAGCCAGTGGTCCCTGTCTACTCCTGCTCCAGCCTGCCTGCAGCTCCACGAGGCTGCGTGTCACGCACCCCCAGCCTTGGGTGCCTCTAAGCAGTGGCCACGTCCTGCCTCTTGGTGACTCATCCTTTGACAAGTGCGAGTTGTCACCCAGAGGGAGAGGCGACTTGAAGCCTTTCCTCCCGTCTCTCTCAGCGATGTCGCAGAGAAGCAGACACCCAACCTGAGAGCAGTTAGGTCCTGGGGACGAACCCACACATATGACCGTTAGGGCTTGGAAATGCAGAAGTCCTACGCCAAGAGCAGGCTGGGTGGGGATGGTGAGGACACTAATTCCAATGACCAAAGCGTCTGAAGACCCCTGTGGGCAGGCAGCCTGGGCTGACAGGCCAAGGGACACCGCCATCCCTGCAGAGCAGCTTCTCACACCTAGGGACAGGTGGAGAGCCTCCAATAAGCCCAGACTTACGAACACCAATCTGCAGGGGACATACCCTGATTCCTGGTGTCTCCAGTGGGCGGGCAGGACTGAGGCCCTCATCTCATAGCCATCTCTGTGCCGTCTCTAGGGCACCTTTGCTGCTTGAGATTCTCTCCGTCCCAGGTACACATGAGCATCTCCTGTGCTCACATCATTTCCTGGGGATTTAAAAGTCTAATTGCACCCAGAAATCATCACTGTTCACTGTACTCAGGAACTTTTAGACACACCCTAATGCCCCTGGGGTTCCCTGTCCCGGCCACCTGCCATGGCACCGTGCTCTGCCAGCTTCAGCCCACCTTCCTCTGTGCCCTGGCCCTGCCACAGAGGGAGCACCTCGTCAGTGGGGCCAACCCCAAAGATGCCGTGGCACCCGGGGGCTGGTCTGCTGTTACACTGACCTACCAGCCACCTAACCAGGGCCAGTCTGGCCACACAGCTGCCACTGGGTCTCTGGAGAAGATCTTCTGACTAGACGCTATCAGGTTTGGATTATTTCTGGTGGGGGGACATGCTCAATGTCCTGCCACATCACATGTCAGAGACGAGCAACATGTCAAATGATGAAGGAGGAAATCTGAGGATGATTTTATCACAACATTCACAGCCTAGGAAGACTGGGCACGGAGAGCTGTGCAGAAAAAGGGGGACATTCCTTCCGAGAGAAGCCAGCCATGGCTCTAGCCCTAACCCAGATGGCCCCACACTGCCCCCCGGTGGCCAACGTCGGCCTCGCTGGGAAGGTGAACACGCGCCGACTTCACAGAAACAGCAGCACTCGCACTGTGACCTGTCTCTCCTGAATGCCACTAGCTTCAGCATGTTACTCATCCCATGAGAACATCAGATGCAGTTTACTCCCTTTTATCACAACCGATTCTTGTATTTTGTATTTCAAAGAGAATTAAATGATAAAATCATAACATCTCTAAATCTTACCATATATTCAAAGGGACACTGCATTTTTCTGGCATTTGGAAAACTGTTTTCTGCTTGGATAATTTCCAGGTTGAAAATGAATAACTCAGGCTTTTGAGCCTGTCTGTTCTTGTAAAGGTCAATTAAGGGTCCAAATGTTCCACTCCTTGGCCTGAGCCCTTCTCCCTTGAGGTACCCAAGTCCCTTACGTTAATAAGAACTATAAGGAAAATTTTCAAGAATAAGCTTATAAATAGCCTATTTGTTACCAATGTTTCTTTTAAAAGTATATTTAATGGGTTATAGAAAAACAAATTACTCCCTGAAATCCAGTGCGTGTGCTAGCCCCCTGCGGGGGTGGATGGCTTACCTCCCCCATGCCAGCTCTCCAAACTCCCATTTTGAGAACTTCTTGGATCCAGTTGCTTTCCACCTAACAACAAATTTGCCACTTGCAAAACCACTTGGTCAATGAAGTCTCGAGGGAGGGAGGCACAATTCCTGGTGCACTCGGCTTTTTCTCTAGGGTGAAATCCAGGTAGCCAGAGTCCTTCGGCCTGGGGCCCTGCTTTGCGCTCTGCAGCCTGGGCCTCAGACACACGCTCGACCCCAGCGTCCACGGCTCCATGACCGTCACGATGACCAGCACCGTTGGCAGCAAGCTGGGCTGCAGCAGGGGCAGGCTCCCTGCCTGGATGGCTCACAGGGTGGCCCCGCCTGCTATTAATGTACTGAGTCCTCTGCTCATCAATAAAAACTTCTCCAGTGGGTGGGTATGTTCTGGATTTTCCAATGAGACAGACCTGCATTTGAAAAGAACAAAGTAAGTATTTTAGCAGGCTCATGTAATACTTCAGCATTTTCTATGTAATTATCTTGTTCTGGAGTAAAAATTACATAAAGGTTTCAAATGCTTATGATGAAAAAAATCCTTTTAAAAACCAACACACACTGAGAGCTCACAGCTACAAGCTTAGCAGCGGTACCCTACTCTAAACACTTCACTCACATCAACCCTCGTTCCGCCCCACATCCACCCATGGGCACACAGTATATTCACGCTCAAGATTCTCAAATAGAGACTACGAACTCTGGCCAGGTTAATACAAAATCTCAAGAGTGCGTACACACAAGCACTCAGCAGAGCGCTTGGTACAGTGTAGATGTTCCATCTGTGCTTATGTTCTTCCTTCTCAGTGCTACATGCAAACAAAGCTTGCCTTCTGAACAGTCCCCGCGGCACAGTGAGGCCTGTTCGCACCATGCTGTCATGGAGTGCATCGTTTCTGGACTAACTACAGAGCTGGGTTGCAGGTGATGAAGAAATCCAGTCTAGTTACACTGGAGCAACACCACGTTGTCCCAGCTCTGCCACCTGCTTTAAGTGAGCTCAGCCCCTGTGTCAGGAACAGAGCAGTGCCTGTCAAATGCTTAGTCCCCACTAGACATCTGCCATGTGTGGACTGCTTTAAAAGTTACAAAATCACTCACATCCACTCTTGCATTTGATGCCCAACCATCCAGTTATGAGAAAACTGAGCCTAAGAGAGATTAAGAGAGAGTCCATGGTCTCCAGCAACTAGTCATGGAACAGCAAATGTAAAAATCAAAACTGTGGGACCCTTGACCTACTCAGATGACCCAAACTTTAGCAGTTTCCAAAGATCAATTCTGACCTCAGAAGACCAAGACTTGCCAACACAGAGGACATTTAAGAGAATGAAATGAAAGCTCTGAAGAAACTGCTGAAGTGACTTTGAGCAGGACAGCATCAACAATGACAAGGTGTGTGCCGCTGGCTAATGCCACTCCTCAGCTCACGGCCCAGTCACCGCCAGCCGGTGAGTGCTTCTGCTGCACCCACACGGCCAGGCCAGAAGACAACACCCCCTCTAGTCCTCAACACGGCCCAAGGGAGCCTCCGCCCATCTCATACATGAGGACACGGGTGTCGAGGGTTCCACAATGTGTCCAAGCAGGTGCTGCTAGAAAGTGGCTGAGCCACGCTCCACCCTGTCCAGATCCTGCTCACCAGGCAAGTAATCGAGCTTCGTGGTCTGGATATGGCAGGTTTAGCCTTTAAAAGCACATGGTCTGACAGCCACAGAGTCTTGTGAAAGAAAAGTCACCAGAGATGAATATTAACTGCTGTAAATACTCCCCGTGACACTTTCCAAGGGTCAAGCCCTCAGAGCAGCGAGCAGGGCAGTCCAAGTCGGCCCTGCCTACCTGATGGGTGAGACACACCCACACTGCCTCACAGACGTATAGGGGCCAGTGTTGGTTCCGATAAATGACATTTCAGGCAAATGTGAATTAACAAGGCTTTTTATGAGAAAATTTGAAATCATTTCAAACTTCTGAAACAAATTTCAATTCCAGCCAATTATTTGGGAATCCAAGGAGTCAAGACTTCATGAAGAGAGTTCAGCTTTAGGCAAGGCTGAGGCCTACTCTGGGAAGCAGGTCCCTGGGGCCAGAGTTTCTGGAGAGGAAAAGAAAGCTTGTGGAGGGCTTCAAAAGAGGGACCATATGGACAGAAAAAGCCCTCTGACCCTCACCAGTTCAGATGAAATCAGCTGAGACTCTGAAATCAGCACAAGCACCTGCTACACCACAGAGAGGTTCATGGTTCTGTGACATGGCCTTAAGCTGTCCATCTAAATGCTAACATCCCCAAGGACAGCAGTGGTGACCAAGACGTACTCTTTTGGTGGAAGGAATTCTGAGGCAGTCTTCTTCTACACGGAATCCACACGTAGATCCTACTTCTGTAATGAAGTCAAGGTATTCTCGGTACTGAGTCTTCTTACTCTGCCTCCGGTGGTATTTTCCAATGAAGTCAAAGAAGCAGCAAGGAAGGATAAAGAAGCGGCAACTGTAGGAAGACCTTCAAAAATAATCAACCACACACAAAACTCTGAGTAGATCCATTAAGGAAAATTTGGCATAAAGCCATGTGGCGACAGTGTTATCAGGACAAAACACAGAGGACTTGTTTCTGGCTAATACTGTTTCTATGTAAAAATAAATTACAGTCTCCCCACTTAACTTCTAGAAACAACACAGCATAGCATATTTTTAAGAGAACATGGATCCAACTACCTTCATAAAAAATGATTTTCCATCACCGCTACTCTTGACAATGAAAATGCAAAACTCTGCAAAGTACTGTGAGATTTCGGCTATACATAAAAGACTTCAGAGGTAGGTACCACAAAGATTAAGCCTTGATCTTTGAGTATGTTGTTCCTTGAGAGCTAAAATAGTTGAAAAGAATCCTGGACGAAGGAGACCTGGCAGTGAAATCTCAAGGAACAACAACATGGCCTGCTTTGGGACGGACCTCCTGCTGATGCAGAGCACACGCCTTCTCTGCACATGCACAGAGCTCCCACTCTGACAGGTGACTATAGCTGCAAAGGGTCTACTGACAGATTTTTCCTTTGAAGATAAACACTTCTGTTATCAGAAAAAAAAAAACTTCCAAAAAAGGGCACACCTTCTCACACGGGATATAAATACTGCAGAAGTAACCACAATTTCGATGAGCGCTGGCCACCAGAAATATAAGGGTACCTCAGAAAGTTCATAGAAATATCTCTTAATCCTATTTTCCACAAACTTTTTGAAGTGCCCTCAGGCAATGTGAACCACATAAGCAATTTTATATTTTCCAGTAGCCATATTTTAATAGTAAAACAAAACACGTGGAATTTATCTTAAATTTAACTCAATATATTCAATATACTATCATTTCAACAATCTGAACTAGCCCCATTTCGAATGCTCAATAGCCACACGTGGCTAGTGATTACCATTTCAGGAAGCACGGTTTAGATGACAAAACATTCCCAGCCATTCACCGTGCCAACTTCTCTACCTACTCACCTGGCAGCAATGACAGGTATCCACGGTGTGAGTTCATCAGAATGGTTACCAATTAACCAGTCAACATCAGGGAAAAGTGTCTCATTGTTTGGTGTGATTGCACCTTCCTAGGAGAACACAAAAACAAGACAAAAGGTTTAGTAAATCAGTGCAGAGCCAGTGAGGCAGCAAGTCACAGCAGGGAGTGAAGGCTCTGGAGCCACATACTGAGAGCCAGAGATCACCTGCTGCGTGACTGTACCTAGACCCCTCTGGGCCTGCTGAGTCACCAGGGTTGAAGGAGTGAATGTACCTGCCCTGTGTCTGCCCAAGAGGACACAAAACACTGACAGCTCTTAGGGTCAGCACTGGAGAAATTAACAGCACTCTTGAATGCTACTGTCCCTTTGATAATTAAAAACATGATTTTTACACAAACATAAAAAGGAACTATAGGAGAGATGGGAAGAGGTGCCAAAGGGAGAAATGGCCTTCAAGTGGGTAGTGGGAAGCAACTAGGTCTGAAGCTAATTTAACTGCACAACATAATGCACTGATATAAGCTCGGAGGTCTTTCCAATCTATGTAATGAAGCCTATCTATGAAAAGATACATACAGGAAGAAATGACGTATGTAAGCATGCATAATTCTTTGCTATTACGCTATTATCATCTGTAAACTCTCAGTGAGTAAAAACCACTGAATGGACACGTTAGCTATTCTGACAATTTCTATAGTTAAGCAAGAACAGCTTGCTTGTATGATTTAAGAACTTTAAATGAACACCTTACCCTTTCTAATAATTAGCAGGCCATCATCCATTATAGAAATCAACATTCTCAATAGCAAATCTTCCAGTGAAAACTGGAAAGACAAAAAGAGACTATACAACCATTCAAAATCTTCTTAATTTCAAAACTGTAGAATAGATCTCTAAGTGCAATGGATTGAATTATTCCCCCCCAAAACTCACTGAAGCTTGAACTGAATGCCCCATGTTTTATGTATTAGAAACTTGACAGGGCCAGCCCGTGGCTCACTTGGGAGAGCGTGGTGCTGACACCACCAAGTCAAGAGTTAAGAGCTCCTTGCTGGTCATCTTTTTAAAAAAAAAAAAAAGAAAGAAAGAAAGAAAGAAAGAAACTTGGCCCCCACTGTGACTGTTCAGAGGGTGGGAAATCCTATTACAGTAATTGAAAGGTGGTGCCTTGAAGAGGTGATTGTAGGACTGCACCGTAGTGAATGGATTAATAATGGTGGTCAGGGGCGTGGTTCTGTGGGCTTTGAAAGGAGAGGAGAGTCTGTTTCTCTTTTTGCTCTCTCTGTTCCGCCACATTTCGCAATGTGATACCCTGCTGTCACTGTTGCCACCACCAATTCCTTCACCAAATACGTTCCCTGGACTTTGGACTTCTCAGCCTCAGAAACTGTAAGCAATAAATTTTGTTTTCTTTATAAATCACCCAGTTCCGTGTATTTTGTTATAAGCAATAGAAACAGACTAACACACTAAGGAAAGCAGTAGAAGTGATATTCCCTGGTCAGAACAGAGGACATTATGACCACACTCATTTTTCAAAGCCATTCCTTATAACAGCAAAACTACAATACTAGAGAAGCTTTTACACACATGACTTATACAAAAATAGAGCTGAAATTCTACAATGTTCCTGGTTCTTCAATAAGCACAGGTGCTTTTATTTACGTAGATGTTAAAACAGAGAAAATAATATTGTTCGACTGGTATGTGCACAATTTAAAAGCAGGAAAAACCAACCTTTGGTACTATTTATTCTTTATTCCATTCATTTAGATTTAAATTTGCCCATTTGTCTCTTTAAATGGCTGTATTAATTAAAACAATTTACACTTAGTAATATCATAACCACATTTATAGTTATCTGGCCCACAGCACGCTAGACAACAAAACCCAACCTGTTTTATGAGAAGTTTTAACTGGCATTTTGAACACAGCAAATTGCAATATTCCTATTTCATTTATAGTTTCACAAACAAAAAGACATTTTGTGATCATCACAATGCTGTTATTATAAACAGATGTTTCTTCTTATAATCAAATGAGGTTTTTGAAAGAAAGAAAAGAAGTTGTATTCTATGCTTGGCCTTTGAATTTCCAGACTGCAACCATTCATGGAAATCACTAGACTGGGGCTGGGAGGAAATCATTTACCAGGAAATATGCAAACACCACCCACCTGTCAACAAAACCACTCTCACTTCTGGCCATGCTCCTCTAGGGCAGAAAGTATAATGGAAATGCAGTTGGCTTCTACGCTCACACTTCACACTACAACGAGCAAGGCTATCCTAGCACCAAGACTGAAGGGCCAGGGTAATGAGAAAAAGACAACACAGATGGAACACAGAACTCTCACCAGCAGGCCCTCACTGACTCAGTGACCCCGGTAGGGTTTCCCCAGGTCAGATGACTCCACAGAACAACCTGAGGCAGGTTGCTGGGGACCCCCAAATAAGAACTAGAGCTTTCTACCCATTCTCCAAGGGGCACTTCACACTAGCCAGCTCTGCCTTAGGGTCGCAGCTGGTGCAGAGGGTCTATTCAATTACCGTTTGAACTTCTTACCTGAGGAAATTACTTCACTTTTCCCCCGGGGGACAAAGAATTTTGAAGTCAACAATGTTACTTCCATTGCTCTGATCATCAACATCATACCCAAATTTAGAGCCCAATTTTGTAAGTGTATAATAACCTATGGTCTGCATACATATCTGCAGAACCTCTGCAGTGCATCTGCTAGTTTACCAATATTCTTCAAACCTAATATTTAAAAAATGTTTAGATTTACCATAATGTATGAATGTACAAGCAATCACAAATCCCCGTAGAATAAAGCAAAGCACAAATACATAATGAAAAAATAAGCAAAGAGATGTCAGTGAGCTTCCCTTCCTCTAATCTTTTTTTTTTTTTTTTTTTGCAATATTATTCTCATCTTTAAAAGAAAAAGGTGAGGCCACCAGAAAATATAAAAATAATCTCAAAAATTGTATTTTCTATTTACATATGAAATGATATATCTGAGATTTGTTTCAAAATAACAGTGGGGTCTAATGATGAGGGGGAGGGGATGGTGAGAGGAAGGAGTTATTGTTGCAGCCAGCCAATGAGCATATGGGGTTCTTCACGCTCTTCCCTCCACTTTTGTACGTTCCTGACATTCTCCATAAGGAAAAACAAACGCTTTTTCATTTCTTAAATCACCAATCTGCCTTCCGGCACATGAAAATCTGTGACCTAGTCATACCCATGCTTTTAACCATGACGACAAAAGTCTTCAGACAACCAAGAGCAGCTGGGTAGAGAAGCTGTGTGGCAGGAAAGACAGCCCAGCCCACACAGAGGGAGAGAGGCCACACCCACAGCCCAGCACATCCAGAGGGAGGCCACGCCCACTGCCAGCCCACCGAGGGAGAGGCCACACCCACAGCCCAGCACATCGAGGCCACGCCCATGGCCCAGCCCACTGAGGGAGGCCACGCCCACAGCCAGCACATCCAGAGGCCACACCCACAGCCCAGCACATGCAGAGGCCACGCCCACCCAGAGGGAGAGAGGCCACACCCATGGCCCAGCACATCCAGAGGGAGAGAGGCGAGGCCCACGGCCCAGCCCACAACAGCCCACCCGGAGGGGGCAAGGCCACGCCCACGGGACGACCCAGAGCCACGTATCTGGTCTCCACTGCTGAGCAGCTTCAACTCCCCCACCCTGGCTTGGAGGCCTGGGGTAGGCACAAAACACCGGTATAATACTTGACACTGTACGTCCTGGGAATGCTACTAAGGAGGCGACCTAAGATGTCTTTTCCTTTAAGGAGCCATTTCTCTCTGTCCTGGCACCTGGAAAAGGAGCTGCTCTTGACCAAGGTGTGACCAACTGGAGTTCACCTTAACACCCCTGGTTCTGTGGATCTCGTAGCCAGGGACACCAGGCAGCTCAGCACAGACTTGCCCTCAGTCCCCAAGTCCAGGGGGCATCTGGGCAGCCCAGCCCCACCCCAACCTCATTTTATGTCCCCCACCTGTGTTCCCCACCAACTTGCCATCTTCCTGGTGAGGCCATTCCTGGCTACCCCAGCAGCACCCCAGCTTCTTCCCCTGGTTGGCCTCATCTCCCCCTGCACGCCCCAGCATGTGACATACCACACCTGTTGACTGTGTATGTGAAGTCTGTCTGTCCCCCACTCCCACTAACCACCACCATGAAGGCAGGAACTTTACGTCCCTACTGAGTCATCAGCACCCAGAGTGCCTGGCAAGTATTTGATAAATATATGAATCTCTGTATTTTTTCTGTTTTAGATAACATCTCAAGATTATTTCTGACATGGAAGTATATTTGGGGCTGGCCAGTTAGTTCAGTTAGTTTGAGCACGGTGTTCTAATACCAAGGTCAAGGATTCTGATCCCTGAACTGGCCAGCCACCTAAAAGAAAATACACATATATTTGAAGTAGAATCTTTTGGAAAAGCACTATGGTAAGATGTATCAAAGACCTTTTAAAGTGAAGCCTATGATAAAGATATTTTTTAAAAAGTGAACTAAGATTCATCCACAAAGATTTATGTAGTGTAATCTGCAATCTGAAAACAGTCAAGAACAGAGGAGTTGAGGAAGTGATCACACCTTCACCATCTGCTGTGCACATGTGTGACCCGACCTCTTTGAGGAAGCTTCAGTTTCCTCATCTGTAAAACAGGGATAATAAGAGAATCCACCTCTTCCTAGGGCCATGGTGAGGATTACAGTAAGTTAATGTACGTGAAAGCATTCAGAAAGGTGCCAGCACACAGCATTTGGGGGCGGTCGGTCTTTATTCCCATACCTGCTAACACTGTTGTTACACACAGTTCAATGGAACACAACTCAAACACTAAAAATAGTGTCTACAAATACCTGATGAAGACTTCAGAAAATGCCCAGGATGGGATGTTAGATGAACAGAAGCCAAGGTCAAGAGTCTACATACAACATGGTCACAAATGTATTTCTTTTAAGTGTAAATATTTATACCCATAAATAAAAAATAGTGATTATCTCTGGGTAGGGGTTTTAAGAAAAATAAGAATGTCTCATTCAAGTCCTAGAAAAAGGAAATATGAAGGATAAAAAGGAACAGTCCAAAGATATGAGAGAAATTACTTGGGACCAACTGGTCCACCCCCTCTGTGTGTATCCACCTCCCTCTGTGTATCTAGAGACAACTCGGCCCAGTGGGCATCCCAACTCTATGCTGAGAACCTGGCTGCCCTCCCTCCTGCCCCTGAAGACAAAGCTCTGTGAGGATGCTCCAAGCAGCTTTCTCAGAGCCCCCAGGCAGGTCAAGTTCCATCCTCCAAGTCCCCTCAGCCCCCCAAACCTCCCACAGCAGTCCTCACACAACCCCCACACTCTGGCTCCTCTGTGTGTCCCATCCCTGGCGAGGTCCTGGCAGGCTGCACTCACCGCTCGCTGAATGTCTGTGGGGGCCTCAGAGAAGATGTAAAGAGCATGGGGCACATCCTCTGCCCCAAGGCAGCATGGGACCATCCCACCTGAGACACAAACTGTGTGTGACAGAGGCGGGGAGGAGACAGCACCTCTGGCTGGAGAGGTCAGCACTAATCAGAGCCTGTGCCAAGTCCACACTTTCATCCTCCTTTTCTCTTTTGTAATTTCAGAACACTCAGATTAATGTTAATGATCAGCATTTCTGACTGACCTATACGAAGAGACCCACTCATTAAAACAATTGCCACTGGGGATAAGACATGCTGAGATCAAGTACATGAACAAAATCAGTACCTCCAGCTGAGTCTGTGGTCCGTACATGTCCCAGATTTTTCTTCTTCGGACATCAATCCCTCTGCCTGGATGCTGAAATGATTAATTTTAGAAATCAAAGGTTAGGTTCAATGCATTATAAAAAATTAGCAAGAACAAGCTCTGCAGGCACTGCCACCAGTATGAGATGCAAGAGTCCTTGGCATCTGTGGATGGCACAAGCACGATCCCCCAGCTATGTGCAACAGACACTCACTGTCCTGCAGGCACAGATGGGAACATGCATTCCACCAACGGTCTCATGAACCTTCAAGAAGGAAAACGGAGTCGAGGAACCACAGTGGCCTTTAGTCTTGGAACATTTCCAGGGCCAGTGTCCTAGGGAACACACCTGAGAACGTGAGCCAACTCTCAGTCAAGGTCAGACTTCTGGGCGCCTCTGCCCTCCCTGCACCTTGGCCACACGTGGTTTCCTCTCCCAGGGCAAATGTTTTTATTCTAGCCAGGGAAAGAGGAGGGGTGCACATGACACTCCCAGGCATCCCCATGTACCAGCTTCCAGGTTGCCACCTGATGTGCTAACACCCCACAGACAACCTGTTTACAACTATTACAATTACAAATTCATTCTTTTATAAAACACTTCAAAAAGTGCATTTTAACACTACACCAAGTTCCTACAGTTATGGAAAATATGTGTATCCCGTAAGACAGCACGCTATTGTAAGAAGGAAGTCAGCTTGGGGTCACCAGGACTGGGCTTCAAATCCCAGCTGCGTCATCTGTAGGGCAAAGCTGTTGTTTCAGGGGTAATGGCACCCAGGGCACTAGATGTGCCAGGAAGGGTATGAGACAGTGGCGGGAAGCTCCAGGCACAGGCTGCCGAGAGCTGCTTTGTACTGAGCTTGCTCTGTGCACAGGTGCTGTTCTCAGCAGCTGACTGTTTTTTCTGCATGGCAGGACAGCCAGAAAAACCAGCACCACGCCATTCTACATGGCAGCCTGCTCTGAGCTGGAAGCCCTCTGAAGCTTCTCGAGGGCAGACCCCGCCTTATCCTTTATTCTCCCTCCACTTCCTTAAAAATGGTGGGTTTTCAAAAGAAAAGTCTGACAGCAAAAATATATATGCTACTGAAACTCTGTCATTTTTCTGTCCAGCCCGGAATGTCCTTGAGACCTCCTTACAGGCTAACAAGATCACTCTTCTTCCCTCATTTTAGGTGCTGCCTAACAAATTAACAGAAGTGTATCAGTCACTATAACCCAGATTGTACCAGCAGAGCAAGATGCCGATGACCCTGGGCCGGCCTTGAGGACATTCTAGGAAAGGTACCAGAAAAGGTCATGGAGCCATGCTTTACCCCTTCACTGCTCAGGATGTGGACCAGGAGGCCATTTCCGCATCCCAAGTCAACAAAGGACTGCTTGGCAGTTATTCCACTCTCAGCTCTTTCCTCATCCCACAGAATCTAGGTAAAGAGAAAAAGCAAAATAAAATCAGCTGGTAATTCACTCTGCTCAAAAATAATTCAGACACAAATCCCATCTGGGATTATAAATCGCACTCCCAGAGTAGGTGGGGAGGCCTCATCCGAGGCCTGGGCCTCAAGGCAGGTAACACACAGGTGAGCAGAACGGACATGGTCTCCGGCCCAGAGAGTGGCTGGCATCAGCTACTGCTCTCACCCAAGGCCAAGTGGGGTATCAAGGCTTTCTCTGTCCATGAGACCCCACATTCGAGTGGACATCCCTGGCAAGAGCCTTCTAGATTACTGTTAGTTTCTTCATGCTTTCTCTATATCCTTTAAGTTTTGTATGATTTGATAATTGAAAAACAACAACAACAAAAAAACACCACGCCATTTCTAAACAGTCTAAGGGAATTACAAGTTGAAAGTACACTGGAAATTATCTAGTCAAAACATTTTATAGATAAGAAAATCAAGGGCCGGCCCGTGGCTCACTTGGGAGAGCATGGTGCTGACAATACCAAGTGAAGGGTTAAGATCCCCTTACCGGTCATCTTTTAAAAAAAAAAGAAAGAAAGAAAAGAAAATCAAGAATGGAAACCCGAGGCCAGGGCTAGAAGGCATGAGCTCCTTAGTCCCTCTAATGCCAGACCGCACCTCCATGGTGACTATCAGTTATGAACGCGTTGGATCAACTGCACTCCTGTGGTTCAGTTTCAAAATTCAAACTTGCTCTATGCCCATGCAAAAGTGCAAAAGTACCATGCAAAGTAAAACCATTACGTGTTTATCAACCTCGGGAAACAGAACTGTAAACACCGTAAGCTATGAATTTGGTTAATTCCCTCTGCTACTGTTAGCATCTCCCAGCAGCAACCTCTGTCTGCTCCATACAAGTCTAGATTATATATGCTCTTACCAGCAGGTACGTAGCAATAGCCACATCTTCATATACAAATTTTTCAGGATCGGTGACTTCAGGCCACACCTAAAAAATTTTCAAGGGCATATGTAAATTGTTGGTCCATTTCCCCACCACTTCACAATACATAAAGCATCCCCATGAAGCATAAGCCAAACTGGATTAATCATGAAATAATATAAAAATATAAGCTCATTCCAAAGGCAAAAATTCATGATTAATCTCTTACAATGAGATTTACATAAAGACACACAGAAATATTATGTCACTCGTGTGTAACAGGACATGTCAAGAACAATGCAATCCAGGGGCCGGCCCATGGCTCACTCGGGAGAGTGTGGTGCTGATAACACCAAGGCCATGGGTTCGGATCCCTATATAGGGATGGCTGGTTCGCTCACTGGCTGAGTGTGGTGCTGACAACACCAAGTCAAGGGTTAAGATCCCCTTACCGGTCATCTTTAAAAAAAAAAAAAAAAAGAACAATGCAATCCAAAGAAAGATTTTGCAATAAAGAAAATACATGGAAGATGGTTAGATGAGGCAACTGGACATCAGCGGAAAATGCTCAGCTGTTTATGCAGATGAGATAATGACCAAGGAAAGGAGGGGCCAGAGGGCAGAGTGAAGAAAGAAAAGGACCAGGGATCAGGAGGCCCACACTCCAGCCCTCCAGTCTGTCGGTGGCTGGCTGTCTCCAGTAAGTCCCTGTCTCCGTTTCTGTAAAACAGGGATAAAGCCTATGCCTTAACTAACATGCAGGATGACCATTAAGGTGCTTTGAAAACTGTAAAGCACTAGCTGTGCACAGGAAAGGTCTCATTAAAATTTGTAATGTGCAGCACTGGCATTTGGCTGAAGAGGAAAAACCAATGCGCTGTAATGCTAAATGCTGAGATCTCTATTTTCAGTCATGGTGCATTAGATAATTCAGATGAACCATCTCACTAAGAACAAGCTGGAACAATATAAAAAGGACCTCCATGAAGGTCCTGAACAGTTAAGATAGTGAAGGCCTCCTAGGCCAGGATCTAAGAGAACGGGAGCCCAGCCTTGTCAGCCAATCCCCAGGACCCACAGGTGCTTCAGCAACAGTGAGTGGTCATGGTAATGCATGTGACTTCTGGGGTGCTTGTTACACACCAATAGGTGACTGACTAAAAAAAAAAATACGTGGATCGGATCCCTATACTGGCCAGTCACCAAAAAAAAAAAAAAAGTGGAAATGATAAACTGAGGTTACTTGGAGGAGGAGGAAGGGAAACACAGAGGAAGAGAACAAAGGAGCTTCAACTCCACTGGCAAAGCTTTCTTTCTTTCTTGGCAGCTGGTCATATGGGAATCCAAACCCTTGACCTTGGTGTTGTTAACACCACACTCTAGCCAACTGAGCAACCAGCCAGCCCTCAAGGGCTTATTTCTTAAGCTGGGAGTGAATACGCAGATATGTCATTACATTTTTTTTATATCTTAGACAGAAAATTAAGCGCATTATCATGAAATTTATCTCCTTTTTGGGAAGTATATTCTTTTGTACTTTAATTTTTCATATATTTTCTTAAAATATCTTTAGGTTTATGCTAAAGAATTATAATTTAGTAATTTATTCAATGTTCAATTACTTTTAAATTAATAATTTCTCTTTAATTTTCTTGAAAAAAATAAATAAAAAATGCACAAAAACAGAACAACCCTTTTCTGTAACATATCTGGGTCTATGTTTCTTGTCTGCTCCCCCAAGTAGGCCCAAGCTCGGCCTGCGAGGGGCAGCTTTATGTGGCTACATTTGGACCTGATGTGTGTATCTGCACAAACGTAGAAGGTTTGCAGGAAAAACTACTTTTCCTGGCAGAGTTTGATCATATTACCTCATTTAAATGGGGGGAGGGAGGAAGTTAAAGATGTCTTCCACCGAAATACCTTAACCATCTCTTTATACTTCTCTTTCAGTTCCTGGTAAACCTTGCTGTACTTCATGATGGAAATGAGGGAAAGGGTGCTTTTAAATTCACTCTTCTTGTCCTCCACGGACCACTTGGCCAATCTGCCCAGTAATTCTTCTCCAAGCCAGGTGGGCTTGGGATACACAATTCCATCTGAATGCCATCTTTCTGGACAGAAAATTAAAACAGATATGAACCTTTAAAAATAAGAGAAATATAAGTAAGCAGGGCTGGTTTCAATGCTTACTTTTAAACTATACGTTTATTTATCGAAAGAAGAGAACAGAAGCTGACATTTATAATTACAAAGTATTTTACTAAAAACATAAAACAATCTGGAAGTAGTTACAAAATTTTCACCTAATAGAGGAAAACATTTAAATAAAAGCAGGAAAAAAATCCCTCTCCTCTTGCAAACTTTGTTTAAAATGCATTCACACACCCTATGAAACCTGTCGAAAGGATAAAGAAAGCTCCTCTTTCCTACTGTCTCATGCATGTTAGCCAGATTCTAAAACATTTCTATTTCTTGTGTATTCACCAAATATCTTCTCAACAGAAAGCTAAGTGCTCAGTCACAAAGTTAAAGGACACAAATGTGATCCCCTGCATTTTACTGGTTCATTTTGTCTCTCGTGTCTCTGCCACCAGAAGGTAGCAGGGGCAGGGCTCCATCTGTTCTGCTCCCTGCTGTGTCCCTGGCTCCTGGCAGTCCTGACACACAAGGGAACTCACTTTGTGCATGTTCAATGAAGGAAGGAATGCTCACACTCCATGGGAGGCTGACAGGGACACACATGGACCCAGAGAACAGCACACACCATCCGAGGGCTATAATTTGCCAACAACACAAAGGGGAGAGAGCATCAGGTTTGCTTGCAGGTAAGCGAAGCCTACAGTGGGGGTCCCTAAGAACAGGCAGAAGAACAAGGCTGCTGGATGAAAGGGCAGGGCTGGAGAGGCCTCACAGGCACCAGGGGAGAGGCAGTGGTGTGTCACTGTGGGGAAAAGGGCAAGCGGTTGGTCAGTCCAGTGAGCTATGACTTTCAGGTGTTCTGCCACCACGGTGCATCAGAGGGACACAACTCATTCCCATACGAGTCTCCAGAGATGCACCCCAGAGCGGGTGGGATCCCAGGAAGAGCCTAGGAAGAACGCCTGACGCTCACCTTCCCCGACCCGCCCAGCTGCTTCCTCTGGCTTCTCCCAGTGTGCAGCCGCCCTGCTCACCCCAGAAGCTCTCCCTCCACTGGAGCCCACACTGAGCCCTCCACACGTGCTGCACACACATCCTGCCCTGAGCCTTGGTGCTCCCCCTGCATGTCCCCCAGGACCGCTGTGGCTTCCTCCTTCATCCACTCAGGCCTCTCTTCATGTGTTCCCTTCTCAGAGGCCTTCCCCACCCACTCAACAGACTCAGAGCACAACACTGCCATTTCTGCTGAGAGGACATGGGGACAGAGTCATGTTGACCTGTTTTGGTTTTCTTCGTGGCACTACCTGGTATTGAAGCATAGATTTATTTGTCTCCCACAGGACTTGCTCAACACGGTAGATCCAGCGCTGAGAACACGCTGAGCATGCAACAAACCTGCTGAAACGTGACGTGCAGAAGAGGAACATGTGTGCCCAGTGGGGGAGCCCACCAAATGTCCGTTTCTTTTGTGCTCAACTTAGACCACAACACCACCACTGGCCCTGAGGTATGACCAGTGCCCAAGGGAAAATGATGACTGCTGCCCAGGGGGGCTGTGACAAGAAATGCCAAGCTGGGAAGACAGGGAGCAACAGCCCAGTCCTCGGGAGCTTGTGCACGGCGAGTGACTACGACTCGGCAAGCATGCATGAGTGCCTGCGGCCAGGCCCTGGGCTAGGTGCCTCCATGACACACCGGAGGAGACGGGCAGCACCTGCAAGGCTCACTGACGAACAGCTTCGGCAGTAGCTCGCACCAGTGATCGCCACAGGCAGATGTGGCTCCTCCCAGTATCTGCTCCCACCCCCCCCCCTGCCCCCAACTTCTAGCGAGAGTACACTGATAGGAATGGACTTCGGGGCAAGGTTCTCTTGACAGTTTGGAGCAACCTCTGGACAGTTCTCAAGGGGCTTTGTCCTGTAGGTGCTAAGTACTCCCACGAAGGTTTAAGCTGCAACAGGCCCCTGTGGTCCCAGCCAGCCACCTGCTCAGAGGCTTGGGAATTATTAAACCCATTTCATAGGTGAGAAGACTGAAGGCCATGGAGGTACAATGACATGCCCAAGATCACACTGCTGGTGGGGAAACCCAGGTGTGGCTGACTCCAAAACCCACGCTCCTCCAACTGTTGTCTCTCTGCTTTACAGGAAGCCACGTGCAAACCCACTCCAGTTACACTGACTCGATCCCCAAGACTGTTCTAGAAAGCACAAGCTGGAAGTGGCTCTCAGGAAAACACCAGCAGAAGAGTAACCAGTGAACTTAACCTTCCTATGACTTTTCCGTTTAAAAGAACCAAATGGAATAAACTGAATTTCACACTTTCTGTACAGGCCCAAATACCATATGAACTTAAGGATGCTTATTAAATTGTTACTTTTATTTATTTATTTGGGTTTGTTTTTTTGTTTGTTTTTTGGCAGCTGGCTGATACAGGGATCACTGGAACACTGGACCTTGGTGTTATCAGCACCACTTTCTAACCAAGTGAGCTAGCCAGCCAGCCCTAAATAGTTACTTTTATAACGAGCATAACTGCAATACCTACTATAAAAGGGGGCATCACCTGCTCCCCATTACCAAGTTGTAAAACATAGTGAGATACTAAAAGGATGTGAGTTTATTTGAATTTGGGGCTAAAACGAGGTGCTGCTGCCCAAGGCTACACGGACAGTGGAGACTGTGACCACCCTGATGCGGGCCAGGTGCCAGCAGGAAGAACATGCCATGGAAAGGCCCTCACACCATGACTGCCCAGGAGCCAGGACCTTTGATCTCCAGCAACCCAGAATCTTTCAGCTACCTAAAGACAGAATCAGTCAAAACCATGAAACAGGGAAATAGAGATTGGCTGTCCAGTCCTTACCATTCCTCTCTGCTATGACTGAGCTGAATTTGATACACGTTGCTCATCTTAACCTTCAAATTCCCCTCATCATCTTCTTCCAAAGGTAAGAAAGTTACAGCTCCACCGAGGACATCTGAAAGGAAAAAGATAAGGACGACGCGTCACAACTGCTTGGTTTGGTGTCTCATCAGAAGTGGTATTAAAAGGAGACTGGCCGATTAGCTCAGTTGGTTAAAGTGTGGTGCTGTAACACCAAAGTCAAGGGTTTGGATCTCCATACCTGCCAGCTGCCAAAATAAATAAATAAGTAAATGGTAATGAATGAATTACGATGTTTTCGATCTCTTGAAGGCTTTCTTCAGCACTCTATCTACAATGGCACTCTTGGGCTGGCTGGTTGGTTCAGTTGGTTACAGGTGGTGTTACAACAGTGGCACTCCAGAAGAAGAGAGCTTTTGTGCTTCTTTCACTGCTGCAGCCCAGTGCCTAGAATGTTCAAGGCACACGGCAGCCACTTCCAACAGCTGTCTGTTGGGGGACAAGTGAGCCAGGAGCTGGGGGAAGAGCCAGTCAACGTGGAGCCTGTCGGAACCTGAGAGCCACAATTGGAGAAAACAGGTGACACCCCTGCTCTAGCTGAGTGTCTTCCCAGCCTGACCTTGACCTTCAGATGCGGTCAGGCATAGGACACCTCAGCAGTCAGAGCCAGCACAAGAAAGTGAGCACTGTCCCAGGCCCTCCTAACCCAGGCTTCCCACTGTGTGACACCCTCACTGTGGCGGGGGCTTTGCACTTGCCCTTCCACAAGGAAATAAGCAGAGCAACACATGCCTAAACTAAGATGAATTTATGGCATTGTATCAATTTGTGTGGACACTTAAGGTTTGGTTTATGAATTTCTATCTCTAAAATCAACTGTGTTTACCTTTGATATTAAAAAATGGCAAGATCTCTGTTAAAGATTAATATAAACCCTACTTCACCAACCAGGTATGCACGACTGCAGTCCACCGGCCACAGCAAGCGAAAGAGCAAGATCCACCAAAAGGAAGTTGAGGCTGAAGGAGCTGACTGCACAGGGACAGAAATAAAGCAGGGTGAGGCAAGGTCTAAGACACTCTGGCATCAGAGGGGATTGCTACTGTATACAGTGTGGTCTGGAATGTCCTCCCTAGTAATGTGACATCCGAGCAGAGCTGAAGGAGGCTATGGAGTGAGCCAGGGGTACCTCGAAGAAGAGCATTTCAGAAGAAGGAACAGCAACTGCAAAGACCCGGGGGCATGAGTGTGCCCGGGCTGTGTGGGGAACAGAGGGGAGTGGCGTAGACAAGGTGACAAGAGGTGGGAGGAGAAATCAAGGGGTAATGGGGCCCAGGTCCCATGGGACCTGCAGTTAACAGGACAGCTATCATCGCGAGTGAGACAAGAGTCTGAGAGCAAGACTGACAAAATCCATCATTCTTTATGTGAGTTATCACCACTTTGTGGTCTAGTGTTTCTCTTTTTGCCATCTTCCAGATCAGGGTTTCTCAACCTCAGCATTACTGATATCTGGGGCTGGATAACTCTTTTATGTTGGGAGCCGTCCTGCATGTTGCAGAATGTTTAGCAGCATCCCCAGCCTCTACTCACTAGATGCCAGGAGCCTGCCGGGTGTGGCAACCAAAAAGGTTTGCTCTAGATGAGGAAGCTGAGGCACTTGGAAGTTAAATTATCTGTCCCAAATTCACACAGCCTCAAATTGAACTCTGATATGTTTGACTCAAGAGGTCAAGTTCTTAATCACTGTGTCATTCTGGCCTGCTACTAATAGTTAAGATTCCTAGTCACGTTACTCTTAATTCCTTTGTGAGCTTACCCAGAATAGGACCAAGAAGTATGCAAAAGCCTTGGGGAATTTTACCACTTTTCAAAAACAGCAGCTAGCATTTATAAGCACTTACCACATGCCAGAAATTATCATAAGCACTTTATAATGTGCAATTTCATTTAATTCTTCCAGAAATTCTAAGAGATTTTATTCCAATTTACAAATGAAGAAACTGAGGCACAGAGAGGCTACATAACCTCTCCAGGCCATAGAGCTAACAGTTGGCAAAGGCAGAATTCAAACCCAGGCTGTTCTGTGGAGTATATAAGTACTCTGGTGAGCCTTCCTGGCAGGAGCTGAATGTAGAAAGCAGTCCTAAAAATGGCACTCCTTCTTGAGAGAGATCACTGCCTCCCTAAGAGGAAATAAGGAAAAGTTCAGTCCTGCAGCCCCCTCTCCATCTTCAGTGAAAACACAGAAATCTACACATGGAGCCTCATAGCCCAGCTTCACTAATTCTCTCAGTCTAGTACAGGGGAAATGTTAAAAAGTTAAGATTATAGCACAATTGTTAAAAGTTGGAAGAACTCCTAAACTCAACTGGACTGGCAGGGTCAGAGAAGCTTCCTGGAGAAGGGGACAGCTAGCAAGAGTCTTAGAAAGGCACAGAGGCAGACAGATTGGGAGGTGTCTGAGAGCGGTATGCACCTACCGGCAATTTACCATTGCTGCCTGAGGTAGGCAGAACAGTCTTCCAAAGGTTCCACACCTTAAAACCCAGGACTCGTGAATTTATTGTGTTATGTGGGCAAAAGAAACACATTGCAGACTTGAGCCCTGAATAGCAGAAAACTTCCTCTGGCTGGAGACAGAAGAGAGATGCAGCAAAAGAGGAAGTCAGAGACACTGATTCCAAGCATGAAGATTCGACTCTGTTATTGGCTCTAAGATGTAGGAAACGGTACTAAAAAGACAGAGATAGGCCTCTAGGAATTAAGAGCCAGCAAGGAAACAAGGACCTCAGTCCCAACCACCATAAAGAATTGGATTCTGCCAACAACTTGGATGAGCCTGGAAGCGGATTGTTTTCCAGAGGCTAGAGATAAGAACTCAACCAGCCAGCTCTTTGATTTTGGCCTTGTGAGAGAAAGAGAGCAGAGAAGCCAACAGAGCCAACCAGGATTTCTGACCTACAGAACTGAGAAAGAGAATCAATTTTTCTTGTTTTTGCCATTAAGTCTGCAGTAATTTGTTACGGCAGCAATAGAAATCTCATACACAGTTTGAGGCAAGGAGTGGCTGAGACTGAAGTGTCAAGTTCACAGTCAAATAAATGCCTGAAATTTGAAGAACACTAAGGATTAGTAGGTTCCTATCCATCCAATCATTATGCTCTTCAACACCTACTTGTCTTGGCATAAACTGCTCCCTTTTCACTGATCTCTTTACCTGATGAACTCCCATTTATCATTCAACGTCCAGTTCATCCTTCACCTTCTCCCTGAAGCCTTCCAGTCACCAACCGCCCCAATCAAGTATGCCATCCTCTGTACCAAGAACACATATTTCTACGTGCCATCTCAAAAAATAATAAAAAACTTAAAACCTCCCCAGTACATAGCAAAGGAACTGACATAGTAGGTACCTGTAATGCTTTTTCATTAAACTGAAATTCAATGAATGTGTTTTTGTAGAGGATTCTTAAAGCAAATGTACTTCACAGGGCCTGGTTTTCCAAAGCCTTGCAGTTTCAAATATTGACCTTGTGGAGGACTGGAAATTTTCCTCAGGCTATAAAGTCTCTGCTGTAAGATAAAGATTTGCGGCACAGTAAGGTTGCTGGCTCAAGGACAAACTAGTTACTGATTAAAATGTAAAGATACTGAGAAATTGCTGTAAGAAGGAATGTTTGCTAAGATCAAGCTTTTGTTGATAGGACCACTTAATTGTCTACTGGAATGTCATCTGGCTTGTTTCACTGAAAGTTACCAGCCAATATTATTAACCTGTAACCCCACCTATGTTCTCTTCCTGTAACTTCCTGGTCTGGAAAATAAATGCAGAAAAAGAACCCCAATTCGGGGTTAATTTCCCAAGGAAGGGATGCCTCTTGCTTGAGGGTTCTGGCAGGAAATTAACCACTTCGGGTTCTCTCACTGCTCAGAAGAGATGGGCTTTGAGTAATCCTTTGCATCTCCGTCACCCAGGGGAGGTGGGGTGACAAATCCGTGGGGGGCAAAGCAACACGTTTTAATCTAATCGTATCTTTCCACTACCAAATATACTCTTACCCTGCACAACTATTTCTCTCCTCGGAGATGTAAGCTGGCAATGCGGGCTCGTTTTGGGAATAACGGTTCTGAAAACCACGTCGAGCTCGTGCTGCTCCTCTGGCTGCAATCCTGTCCCAGAGCGGAGGAGAAAAGCTAGCATCTCCGGGTTGCCACTGGCAAGACTTCGGGAGAAATTGTCCCAGAGCAAATCCAGATCTGCAACAGCGAAGTCGTCCTCCCTGCCTCTAGCCTTGTCCGGGTGCCCGGGATCTACGGCGAGCAAAGGCGCCTCGGCTGCTTCTCTCCGCGCCTCCCCTTGCTGGTGCGGGCCCTGAGTCTCCTGGCGTCCGCGCCCCGCCATGCCTTGCTCCAGACCGGCGCTCGGCCTGGGGCCCGGACCCTCCTCTGCGGAACGCCGGCCGGGTCCCGGCCCCTCCTCGGAACCGCGTCCAGCCGCGCCCCGCTCCTCCTCCTCGGGTCCTGCTAGCGGCCTGGGGCCCGGACCCTCGTCGGGGGAACGCTGGCCGGGTCCCAGCTCCTCCTCGGGCCCGTGTCCAGCCGCGCCCCGCTCTTCCTGCTCGGGTCCTGCTAGCGGCCTGGGGCCGCGGGCCTCGGCCAGCCGCAGGGCGGCGCTCCGGCGTGCCTCAAGGCGGGCGCCGCACAGCCGCTTGTTGGCCACCTGCGGCCTCTCGAGCCACACGGCCACCGCAGCCCAGAAGCCGCCCGGGAGCAGCGCCCCGGGGTCGCGGAGCGCTGCCCGACCCACCTCTGCCATGGTCGCCGGAGCGCCCAGAGCCCGGGCAGCGGCGCGCCGCGATGACGCATACGGCAGCGCGGCCGTGACGTCACGGGGCGGGGCGCCGGGGCCGGGGCCGGAAGGGGAAGTGGCGGTGATGGATCACCTTTCCGCTCTTGGTTTCCCCGGCACGGGTTCGGCTGTGTGGTTCTCGGCTGAGAGTTTAACCTCCGTTTTATGCTCTGGGAGTCCCTCGTGGTGCGTTGGTGCCTGCTAGAGCATGATCAGAGCTGAGTGTTGAAGGAGCATGCTGCAGGTGGTACGTTTATGGAATCACAAACATCCTCCGGGCCAGCGGATCTGGAACCGCTAATCTCCGATATCGATTACTGATCAAGGGCAGGAAACCTAAGTCTGTGAATGGGCTAGACTCGTCCTCCTGTGAAAGCTCGCTCTTCTCCACTTGCGTTCCGGTTTGCCGTCTTGTGGGAGAGCTGCGGCCCGTGCATTCCTAAGCCTGAGCCTCGGGGGCTTCCTAAGAAGGATATCACCTCTTTCTGTGACAGATGACCCACGTGTCCACGGAGGAACACGGAAGCTGGACTGCCAGTTTAGTCCAACAGCACCAGCACCCGGTCTGCAGAGTCTCTAGTGAAATTCCAAGACCTCCAAGGTTCTTCCCTCATTGTCCTTTAGTCCCTCAGTTGGAATTTTGCCATTTACTAAAGGATCTCTGTCAGGATCAAAGAGAAGTGAAAACTAACTCAAATCATGTGCCTCATCGGGAAAAAGAACACATATCAAATGTCTGTGGAATCGAGAGATAGACGGGTGACATCACCGCGCAGACACACCTGCTCACTCCAGCCCTTCAGTCTTTGATCACGTAGTTGATTTTTAGGTCGTGTCAGTTTCCTAGGGCTTCGGTAACAAATTACCACAGATTGGGTGGTTTACAAGAACAGGTGCCTACTCTTTCACAATCCTGAAGGCTCTGAGGGAGAACTGTTCTTTTCTCCTGATTTCTGGTGGTTACAAACAAACGGTGGCGTTCCTTGGCTTGTGCCTGCATCACTCCAACCCTCCACAGTCACACAGCGCTCTTCCTGTGTTTCTCTGAATCTCCCTGTGTTTCTCTTTTCCTCTTCTAGTAATGACAGCACTCATTCATTGGGGCCCACCCAAATCTAGTTTGACCTCATTTTAACTTGATTACATCTGCAAAGTCCTTATTTCCAAATAAGGTCACAGATGCCAGGGATTAGAAGTTCAACATATCTTTTGGGGGTACACAATTCAACCCCAACACTGTCCAAAGGTGTTTAGCCTTTGGGGCAACCAGAAGATTAACAATTACAAATCTTACCAAGCTGCTAATGTGTGCGGGGCCCTGGGCTAAGCACTGAGGATGCAGAGCTATGCAAGGCCCTGCCCTTGAGCAGGCTTCAGGCTGACAGTGGACGCAGACAGGTAAGCAAGACGACGGCTATGGAGTATGAAAAGTGCAACAGTCACGGCCCATACAGGGTTCAGAGGTCACAGAGAGACGCGAGAGTTGCTCTCTAAGGCTCCTCCTATCTTGAAACAACAGTGTTGCCAAAGGAGGACTCTGTGACAACTGAGTTAAAGAGAAGTAACTTAAAAATTTTTTTGAGGGAGTCCTGACTTCAGACTGGCTGTCCAAATAAAGGACACAGAACAAAACAAAATAGTTTCCAAAGTGTTTGTTCATGGTGGAAAAACAGGTCCTTCTCCCATGATTCTTTGTTTAAAGTTGACGTGTTTATTAAGGGACTATGAAGTAAATATGCTGCAGTTAATTATAAGGCTAAGTTAAAGTACAATTTATGTAGTTATTTGCTTTCAAATGAACTGTTCTTTTCTTCTCGAAGGTCTGTTATCTCAAAATTCATTATGTTGTCAGAAGCCCTGGTCCTGGCTAGTGTAACACCACCTTAGTTGGGGTGACTTCATGGTGTGTCTCCAGGCCCTTGTTATGATCCCACTGCTTGCAAGCTGAGTCAGTTTTGAGAATTCTCTCTGTCTCCCCAAATAAAAACCTATCCAAACATCTACTGCATTGTATGTAAATATGAAACGTGCATCCAGTATTTCAGCAGGTTTTCATCAGAAGGGATTTTAGAAAGACACCTTATAGGTCTGTGCTACATTTTTGCAGTTCTTGTGAATAACTCTAGATGGTAGTTTTACTTGCCTTTGATGCCTCTGATCTCCCATGATTCTTCTATCTGCAAAGCTCATCACATACCTGCAATAGTTGGTATTACCAAGGTCGAGGGCAAAGTTTTCATTAGGAAGCTAGCAACTCACAGGAAAGGCTTCATTGATTTGGGGGGCTGATGTTAGACTGGGTGTTCTTTCTCATTTCAGTTCATCTCAGGATGCAAAGTGGTTTTGTTTTTTCATTCGGTTTGGTATGCAATATGCATAATCAAAACAGCAGCAAGGCATGGTGTCTGCTTTGATTTCTCCATGTACAGGAAAAGTGCTGCTTCATTTAAATGTGGGCTCAAGTTCTCAAAAGTCTCTTCTTTTCCAGGCTCTGTGCTCTCATGTTCTGGGCCCTTTTGTGGCCCTGAACTGTGTCCTGGCACTGACTGATTTAGTCCCTGCTTCTCCTCTGCATGTCACATGGGCATAGCAGAGAGAGGTTGCAGAAACCTGCAGGCCTAGGACTTTGGACTGAGGAGTCATAAGTCCATAAGCCAATGTTTGTGGGGGAAGTGGAAAATCCAGTTTGATATGGGCTGATATCCTTGCGCAAGACCGTGTCAGTTCCTTCCTGGAAATCATCTCATTGCAGTAAGATTACAGTAAAACTGCCTGCCAGCTGCCACCTCCAAACCCCACACAATCTGGCTCCGGCTTCCTTTTCCAACTTCATTTCCTAACCCTCTCACCACACCTGCTAAGCCCCTGCCACAGTGATCTTTCTGTTCTTCAAACGCCAAACTCATTGCAATCTACGGGCTGTTAAGTAAAATTGATAGGAGGCCATTGGTTTGGACTGAGCTCCTGTACTAGGCCCAACAGACCAACCAAAATGGAGTCACTCATGCAGAAGTTCCACACCACCAACCCATAAGTTGTTTATCTGAACTTCCAAGAAATCAGGAGGGAGACAATAGACAAATCCCCAAACAAATCAGTTTTAGACTGCATTATAAGGAAGTCCCCTCTGCTTTAACCTTTACCAGGAAAGAAACTTTGAAAGGACCAATCCACGTTTTGCTCCCTCTTTCTGCTTTCTTCAGCCCCTTCTGTCTATAAAACCAAACTCCTGCTCAGCTCATGGAAACACTATTCTATTTTATAGAATGAGGTGTTGTCTGATTCTAGAATTGCAAATAAAAGCCAATTATCTCTAAACTCTTTTAATTTGTTGTAATTTTGTGTTTTGTTTTTGTTTTTGTTTTTTTTTTAAAGATGACTGGTAAGGGGATCTTAACCCTTGACTTGGTGTTGTCGGCACCACACTCACCCAGTGAGCAAACCGGCCATCCCTATATGGGATCCGAACCCGTGGCCTTGGTATTATCAGCACCGCACTCTCCCGAGTGAGCCACGGGCTAGCCCGTAATTTTGTGTTTTGACAGGGTCTTTCTACTGGGTCTTCCCTTTTCCTGGAATGTGCATTCCCAGATCTTCTCTCTATCTGGGAATTAGCTGAAATTTCCCGTCCCTAGACAGCGCTTCCCTGTCCATTCAACCAAGTAGCCCAAACACTGCACGTTATTGGCTGTTTTGTTTTCTTACAATTATCCAAGTTTTATTTGTCTTCTCTTCCTTCTAGAACTTGCTTCATTAGGTTGGGAACCTGTCTGGTTTATCACTATAGCCCTTGATACTTTTTGGCACCACGGAGATGCCCAAGGAATAATTGCTGAATGAAAAGGTCACCAAGATTAGGGAGTGAAGTAGGGAATTGTGCAGATGTCAGAGCTGTCCAGGACTGTCTCTCTGGAGTGCAGTAAGTCCCAGCCAGAGGCAGCTGGGCATAGGGAGCAAGGAGAAAGTGGCTAGATCCAGACTTTGGTCAAGGTTCTGACCCACAGCCTGGGGTTGGGAATAGTCTCATGATAGTGCTATCCTAAAGAACTCTGTGATGATGGAAATGTGCTATGTCTGCATTGTTCCATGGAGTAGCTACATGTGGCTACTGGGCACTTAAGTGTAGCTAGTGCTACTAAGGAGCTGATTTATATTAAATTTATAAGGAATTAAATTTATTTAATTTTATTTTTGTTTATTTCTTTTTGATGGCTGGCCAGTACTGGGATCTGAACCCTTGACCTTGGCATTATAACAACCCACTCTAACCAAGTGAGCTAACTGGCCAGCCTTATTTAATTTTAACTAATGCCCATTGTCAACCTAAAACGAGTGACAGAGAGACCAAGTCTCCAAAGCAAAGAGTTTATTCAGGAATAGCAGGGGTTTGCAATCTGGGATACACATGCTACGTCTGATTATAGGTGCATCCAAGGGGGTTGGGAGCAAAGTGGAAACTTTTAAAGGCAAAAAGGAGAAGTCCACGTAAGCTGTTTTAAAACAAAGACCATTGGTTACAGGAGCCCCTTGCAGGAGTTGGCATTAGCTCACTGATGGCGCTCATTGGTTGGCATTAGCTCATTGGTGGCGTTAACTCATTGGTGGGTTAGCTCATTGGTGGAGACATCTGTTATTAGGTGTGTCCTTGGGCAACTGTCTTATCTGGAAAACTGCAGTTTTGGGGAATTCCTTGCATAGTTCCTGTCATAGGCATACATGTGTGAGGGCTCTTCTTTCATGGCCTCCTGGCTCCATTGTGTTAGAGTTTGACCTGGGTGACTCCATTTTGATACTGATTACTTTGACAACATTTAAGTTTAAAAAGCCAGAGGAGGCAAGTGGCTACTGTGTTGGACAGTGAACCTCTAGAGGGACTCACATGGGACCCCTAAAATCCCTCCACTCTGGGTCCTCAGGATCTTAGTGCTAGAAGCTGGGTGGGGATCAGGAAAGCAGCAACTGAGGCT